TGCCATTAGTGCTCTCAGTGGAAGGAAATCCATAGTTGCGTGCATGCATTTTTCCGAACCCTAGTCTCACGGGTCGCCAGCGTGGCCCCTGCACCCACGCTCCTTTCGCCCAAGCTTCCTCCGTCGTCTGTCTTGGTTCCCCTATGCCTTCCACTCCCTCTGTTCCTTTCCGCTGTGCACTCTATCATGTGTGTGCTTGTGTGCCCACGACCATCGAGCCGTGGTGAATCGTATGCTGGCCATTGCACAATGGCAAGTTCTAGGATTTTGGGCTCTCCATGGGCTGTGCGTGGGATACCAGCGTTTGTGCTTTTTTTGTGCTTCTCATATAATGGTTTGTGTCACCTTTTTACACCCACCAGTGACATGGTTGCTTGACCTAGGGCTATGGTCATGCCCGTGACACTTGCATCCAACCGCAAGGGTTGGATTCTTTGTGCTGTTAGTTTAAGTTGAAATTGTAACACTATGGCACTTATTACTTGTAGAGATGTTTTTTTGTGCTTGTTTTCTGTATCCTGAATCTCGGTGCGTTGAATCAGGTGTGGCTTGTTTTTGTCATCATAGCTGCTGCCTTGTGACCAAGAGGTCACGGGTTCAAGTCCTGGAAACAGCCTCTTACAGAAATGTAGGGAAAGGCTGCGTACTATAGACCCAAAGTGGTCGGACCCTTCCCCGGACCCTGCGCAAGCGGGAGCTACATGCACCGGGCTGCCCTTTAGTTGATTCTTGAAGGCTTTATTGTCATCATAGTAGATTCTATAGTGGCTGCAGCATGCGCTAAAACTCCAAATTGTAATGCCAACATTTTTTATTACTGGATGCTTTACATTAACAAATGAATTTTGCCACAGTACTGCGTTGGTTACATTTATGTCAATCGACATAGACCTATTTCTGGACTGAAATTTAATGATTGTTTCGTATTATGCATTTGGCCTTCTTACAGGATGAGACGATGATCATGACATGGATCTGTTCGGCGATGAGACAAAGGAGGACAATAAAGTAGCAGCTGAGCGTGCAGCTGCCAAGCCTGCAAAGAAGAAAGAAAGTAAGCTCTGCTAGTGTTGTGTGCTTAAATTCACCTAGTCTGTCTTATATTGTCATTGTCCAGTTTGTGCTAACAAGAAGCTTATTAGGTGGCAAGTCCTCTGTCCTCATGGACATCAGGCCATGGAACGATCAGACTGACATGAAGAAGTTGGAGGAGGCTGTCTGCAGTGTTCAAATGGAGGGTCTCACCTGGGGTGCATGTAAGGAACTCATTTATTTTCGCAGTATCTCTATTGTAACTCATTGATGTAACAGTTTGGTAAATTTTACACACTGCTCTTGTTCTTGCAGCTAAGCTTATGCCTGTGGGTTACGGCATCAAGAAGCTCCAGTTCGATAAATTTTACACACTGATCATCGACGACCTCGTGTGTGTCGAGACTCTTATTGAGGAAGTGCTCTGCGAGGTCGCCGGGTCGCAGGTGGCTCTTATCTGAACCCTAGCTTCAGTGGGTCGCCAGCGTGGCTCCTGCACCCCTGCTGCTTTCGCCAGAGCTCCCTCCTCTGTCGTCAGGCTTGGCTTCCCCTACGCCTTCCACTCCGGCCTAGGTAAAGCCCCTCGGTTCGTCTCCTATGTGCACTCTCGTGCGTGTGCTTGTGTGCCGACGGCCACCGAGCCATAGTGAATTGTCTGCTGGTCATCGCACCATGGCAAGTTCTAGGATTTTGGGCTCGATGGGCTGTGCGTGGGATGCTATTGTTTGTGCTTTTTTTGCTTCTGGTATAATGTGGGTTGTCCTATCAGGGTGCAACAAACCAAAAGGGCTTTGATCTTGCTTGTTAGCATTAGGTTGCTTAGAACTGATAAGGAGATGTGTTAATAATACTTAATAATGTGGTAGGGTCCCGGGAGGATCGCATACCAACTCGTTCGTCTTCTCCAATCTGTCTTTATGGTGACTGGTATATCAAAGATCAAGCACATCAAGTGAGTGAGAGTGCTCTTAACGCGATGACTCAAACCATTCGCTTATGTCAAGTCTCTCACCAGCCCCTGACTTTGTTGCAACCAAGCAAAATTAGCCGTATATCATGTATTTCTGTCCTTTTGGTGTTCATTCCCTTATGCTATTGGTCAAGTACCATTTAAAGGTCAAGCGATAGGGAACAAAAACACTTCAACTGACTTTGATAGGAAACAAGATGGTGTCGTGTTGTTTACTAGTTTTATATATATGTTAAGAAAGCATGTTTTTTTTGTGTAGGAGGAAGAGATCTTACCTTTTCTTCTCTCTCCTCTTGGTACAGTCTACAGCAGAACAACAACATCAATGGGCGAACCCCAGCAGCCTTGGCAAGCGACCACTTCTCTGGTGAAATCCCCAGCTTGTAAGTGCACTGATGAACCATGAAAGAATTATATTCTGAAGGTTTCCCATTCGTGGCCTGTTCCACACAAGCCACTAGACATGTAGATGTTCTCACTGTTTACATCGTGATTTTCAGTCTACGGCGTCAACTCCTCGAGAGACGTCAAAAACCTTTCTGATATATGGGCGAAGGAAATCGACTTGTTTTCAACGAACCAGGATTTTATAAAGTTGCTCATCAAAAACAAAGTGGACTGGGTTTAGGTGAGTCCTTGGTCTCTCTCTCTCTCTCTCTCTCTCTCTCTAATATGGTTCGGCCATCGAGCCAATGTTTTAATGATCGTGCTCATCTTTCTTGTAGATGAAATTGTCCAGTTTTAGTTTGGTTGGGTATGCTGAGGTTTGGACTTGTTATTGGCTATCAAATATAACAAAATGGTTGCACATTGTGTTGTGTTTCTGTCTAACTTGTATAAGGATAAAAATCATCCAGCCGCTGATGTTGGGGAATTGTGGTGTCTGTCTACCTGATGCACGCGTTGCAGGGAGCATGGTAGAGTGGCTAGTAGCTCGCAGCTATTTACTTGATATCACAACACAGGGAGATTCGCATGACTTACTGTTTCTCCCTGTAATCTTAGAGCTTAAGTACCATTTCTGGGAATTGCCTGCAAGTGCTTCCCTTTGAGGTGTGAGCTACAGGAATATATGCATCCAATTCCACTGAAAAGAGTGTTTGCTTGGAGTTAGATCACCTAATCTATTTCTTTGTTCGATTTGGAGCAGCAGGCGTCCTCCATGGACGACATTGACGAGGAACATGTGGTACCGCACGCCTGAGCTGTTGAGCTCGACGAGGACATCATCGAGTCCGCCCCAACATGGACAGTGAGGACGACGATCCGCACAAGGTTGCTCTCTCTCTCTCTGCTCTTGCATGGATGTTTTACCCTGTCTTTAGAGATGGTTGAATGTTGATGATTGGTCTGGCAGGAAAGTGAGGGATTGGAGGGACCAGCTCGGTGCAGATGGCTCTGGAGATCTGTGGGGTATTCTAGTAGAGTGGTGGCTGCACGCATGACGCTTGATCAGGTCAAGGTGGAGGATATAGACACCAATGTTGCTGTCCTGAAGGTAATCGTCATCATCTTTGAGCATATCACATTCTTGTGTAATATATTTGAGTTCAGGATTACCGATGTTTTATTGGTTCCATCTTAACAGGCAGGAACTGTTGTTTCCTTTGTTTGAAATAGGCAAAAGGCTTGTCTTTTTGGCCGAGTGCGACTCAAGTCTTAACGTTTTTTGCTCTGCTTCCTCTACATATTTTTACAGGTACAATTCATGGTCCAGGACTGCCATACCTAATCATAAAACTGAAGATTTTTCTTTCTTATTATCAACACAAGTTTTCTCCCTATCTCTTTAAAGATAACTGTTGTGATCCTTTTTATTTGTATGCAATCTGCAGAGGCTTGATATGGTACATTTTCCCCGGCTTTTTGGTCGGCTCCACCTTCATGCTGTGGAACAAGCACCATGGCAACAAGCAGCTCATTGGAGCATTTGAAGTCACAACCCCTCCTTGGTGGCGAACCGTCGAGCATCCCCTTGCTCAGCAGGAAGCCATCTTGCAGCTTGAGGCACACGGCCAAGCTGGGAACATTTTTCTCCTCAAGCTTCGGTTCCTCGTGCTCGCAGCTTTTCCTCAGGTTAATCTCTATCCCAAGTCTCTACTATGATTGTGCCAACTCTGCATCAGATCTTATGTAACTTAGCCTATCTGACAATTGTTACATGTTGCCAGAGCACAAACAAAGTTGCGGTGGCGATGCTCGTCGTGGCTGCAACATTTGTGTTTATGCCGTTCTGGAGCATAGCCATGGTCGTTCTGTTGGAGGCTTACATGAGACATATGTCGTTGAGGAAGAAGAGCAGCGAGAAGCTGGTGAGGAGGTTTCTTGCATGGATGATTTGTCTCTGTCTTTAGAGCTGAGCTGAATGTAGATGCTTGGTAAGCCACTGGTTCCCTCTCTGTTATGACTTTGAGCTTTTGATTTGTTCTGTATCTGGCTTGGTTGTAATGTGAAACTGTCCCTCAAAACTGCTATTGATGCATCAATGCTTATCTGCATGCACTTGATTGATAGAGCAATGCTTGTTTTGTTTATATGTCGGCAAAAGGGGCAAGTATTATTAGCTCTTGTTGTCTGGTCTTCTTACAGGTGGAACCCTCTCTCTCATAGATAACAGAAATACCAATGCAGATTCAGCATATTTCTTAGTCCAAGTATTTGCATTGAATTGAGTGTTCTTTCTTTCTCATGTATCTATCAATCTTGTGGATGATGAGAACTCCATGTGATAAGCAGCAACTTGTTTGTGCTGTTATCTTTTGCTTTTGTGTTGTTGTATATCAGTAGCTTGCTGCAACCTGAGTGTGGCATCTTTTCTTACCTGGATGGAAGTAACAGTAATTGTGAGATTAACGGTTCGCCAAAAACTTGTAGGAAGCAGAAGCGTGGCCATGCAAAGCTTCAGTTGGCGAAGGCATCTGACACATGCTGCCCTGGTCTATTGTAGTATCAGCCCGCTTCATCGAGATATGGATGCTTTTCTTTGGTGAAAAAGGGACGTTCTGGAGGTAATTTGATCAGTGAACTCTTCTGTTTTGTTAGTCTACCACTGAGGAATGCTATGCGATACCGCCACTACTTTTGGAAATGGCAACTTGATTGTTGTTTACTACGTGTAAGATGCAATGTTGAATGGTTTGGTTTGGTGCCCTACTGCTGCAAATCAAATCATTTCCAAATGCTCGTCCTTGAACACTCCGTTTTGTTGTCTACATCTGAGCTGAGAAATACAGTGCGAAATATTTCCTGTGTGAGTTGATGCCATGCTGTACAGTACTCCCTGTGTAAAGAAATATAAGAGCGTTTAGATCACTACTTTAGTGATCTAAACACTTTTACATTTCTTTACGGAGGGAGTACCATCTTAGCTTTTTGTGTCAACCAATCAGTTCAAAAACTCTGTCTGCATGCTTTGCTGGTTACCCTGTAATCCTGTATAGATGCCATTTGAAGTATTTTTTTTTGTTAACCTTGGTCTGGTTGTATGAAGTGCGGTTTATCTTTGAGTAACCTCGTCTGCTTGTATGAACTTGTGGCATAGTTGACCTATTCCAATGTGTTTTGCTGATATGCTTCGGTTCGTCCTTTGTGGGTACCCCCTTGTTCCTTGGCCATGAATTGATCTTGTTCTCTCTTGCTCTTTGCCCAGGATGGTGAGGACGGCGAGAAAGAAGTTATATTTGCTGGAGATGATGCACTCACAACCATTGGGTGATTCTCCCGGAGGGCGAAGCGGGGCGAGAAGACGGGCCAATGGAGCTCGGAGCTCTATGGGGAAGTCTGGTGGTTTGCTTTATACTTTGATTTTCACATGTGAATGGGACACGCTGTTCCGGTGTTTTGCGGTGTGCTCATGTTGTATCCAACAGATATCAAAACAAGGTGATGTTTGTTTTTTGACTCGGAACCAGAATATCCAATGTATGATGAACTGATGGATCATCATCTTCCAACCATCCTGGTGTTTGGTAAATAAAATTTGATCTTGCTCCAGTTGCCCCTGTAGTAATAGGGATGTCGTGGTAATTTCCAGAGCCACAAATGTACTGGTAGCAGCATTGTTGTAAACTTTGTGAATCCTGGTGTTGGTCGATGTCAAGCTAGAGAAGTATTTCTGGTATAGCAAATAGATTGGCTGGCTGTTAGTTGAATGAATGCTGTTTTTGTTTGAGGTAAAGTCATTTGGGTATCTTTATTTGGCCAAAAAATTTGTTATTTTCCGTGTCCGAAAACTAAAATTCCCATTCTGCTTGAAATCTGAACCCATCTAGTATGCTAATGAAATCGGCTTATGATGCACAGGAGCCCCTTGCAAAAGCAGAAGACTAGAATCCTCGGGCCACAAGGGTTTTCAAATTCCAATTTCTTTTTCATGATTTATGCATGAGAAGCTACTGCTTAATTAATGTTTACCATGTGTCTTCAAACTTGATACGTTTACCAGAGTAGTAGTCGTCTTTTTCATGATTTTTGGGAAGTAGTTGCTTTCAT